ATTTAATCTTTGGTTATACTTTCCTTTTGGGTATTTAAGGCCATACAGTTGGCCCAGATAAACCAATTTATTTTTACTCTTAAGATCCTTTGAGGATCTGTTCCTCAGGGGTCACATGGCCTGGGGAGGAACTACCACCAGTGAAGTAGCTCAAATAAGCAGCTTAGCAGCTTTCCCTTAGACTCATGGTGAAACCAGAGAAGTTATGTAATTGGCCCGGGGCAAGGCCCTGAATGTGTGGCAGGTGTGAACGGGCAGTCAGCTCTCTCAGTGCCAAGTCTGGTTTCCTCCCAATTCATCACCTGCCTTCCTCCTCCAGGCTCCCCCTCCCTGCCTGCCCCAGGAGGGGGACCTGACACTGGGTGTTCTCAGCCTGGCCAGTTCCCATAGGAGTAACAAGGACTTGCTGGGGTGTTCCCAGAAATGTCAGGCTTAGCTGACTCCTGCTTTACATCTCCACCCCATGACTCCAACTAGGTTTTACTAATGCCAGTAAGGCTGAATTTGCATGCAAGAAATGGCACCTGAGTAAGTGGATTTGATTGACTTAAGGAGTTGAAGGGGACTTTCTTTTCTTTTCTTTATCTTGTGTGTATGTTGTATGTATGTGTACATGTGTGCACATTTGTGTGGAGGCCAGAGGTTGATGTATGGTGTCTTCTATCACTCTCCACCCTATTTATTTTTTTTAATTAATTAATCTATTATTGTATGTACATGATGTGTGTATATGTGTGTGTGTGTGTGTTTGTGTGTATGACAGGAGGGGAACAAGCATATCACATGGTACACATGGAGGTCAGAGGACAACTTTATGGAGTTAGTTCTCTCCTTCTATCTTTATGCAGATTCTGGGGATTAAATTCAGGCTGCCAGGCTTTCACAGCATGGGTCTTTACCGGCTGAACCATTGCAGCAGCCTTATTTTTGTTTTAATTTAATCTTTGCATGTGTATGTGTGTGGTAGGTGTACATATATGTTCACATGTGTGGGTGCTGGTGCACCTTAGTCAGAATCATATTTTGGTTTGTAACTGGGACCTTAGGAGGAGGGGGTAGTCTTGTTCAAGTCTCCCCAAGGAAGGGATTCTGGAAACTCTAGGACTGGTGGCAATGGTAAGACTGTTGCGGCTGCTTCAGCATACGATGCACTGTCACCAACAAACAGATGCAAGAGTCGCCCAGGAAGGCCTCACGACATACACGACATACACGTGAGTGCAGGGGGATGTTTGTTCCTGAGACAAGATAGTTTCATTGTGCACCAGTATGCACTTCCCCTCCCTGCAGGGGGCCTCAGTGTCTCTCCTCTTGGGAATTAAATGAGGCCACATGAGTGCCTCCAGCAAAATGACGGGTGACCCTTCCAGGACGTGGTGAGTGACAACACTGGGAAACAAAGTCCCCCCCTCGTGCTTGCTAGACATTAGCACAAGTGAGAAAATAAACACTTGTATTTTTAGCTATGGAGGCATTAAACTTGTTAATTACAGCAGCACGATCTAGCCCACCCAGAGGGAAACAGTCATCAACCTTTCTCATTTGACTTATCCAAGTGGTCTTCAAATGCAGTGACTCCTTATAACAGAGAGGCAGAGGGCCAGCAAGATGGCTCAGAGGGAACAGGCACTTGCAACCAAGCCAGATGACTTGAATGGCTTGAGTTCAATCCCCAAGACCCACATGGTGGAAGGAGAGAACCAACTCCTGTAAGTCTTCTGATCTCCACACGTGTATTATGGTGCAAGTGCCCTCCTACATATGCATGCACATGCACACACACATGAACTAAATAATAAATACATTAAGTGTAAATAAATAGAAGAGGGAGAGCCACCTTTAATTCAAGGACTTGGGAGGCAGAGGCAGGTGGATCTCTGTGAATTTGATGTCAGCCTGATCTACATAGCAATTTCCAAACCAGGCAGAGCTATATATAGTATACAGTAAGACACTGCCTCAAAAGAGGGAGGTGGGGGAGGGAGAGAGAGAGATAGAAAGATAGGTTTAAGACAAGATAAGCAGTCACAGGAAACAGGCTACAGTGCTGACTTCGAAGATGAAGGGAGAGGTCAGGTGAGCCTTGAGCAGCTCATTTTAGAGTTCTGGCCTCCAGAACACTAAGAGAATGAATTTTGTTTGAAGTCATCAGTGTGGTGATTTGTTCCTGTGACCATAGGTAACCAATACAGAGCCAATTGAGCATGGACAGAGAAGCTCTTCTGTGTATGAAGTCTGAAGACTTGCCCCTGGATCAAGTCCGTCATGTCAGATGGCGTCTACCCCAGGGGGTCGATGCTCTTCTGGAGGCCTCAAACCTGCAAATACCCGGTTTTCTCCGCCTCACTTCTGCCCCCAGTTCTCCTGACAAAGGCAGGCATATCTGGCCTTAGCTGTGCGCAGAGCCTGAGCCATCCTCAGTGGATCCTCAGGCCTCCTGCAGATAGACTTCTGCCAGACCTGCCCCAACAAGTCCAAACAAAGTCAGGCTGACTTTCTCATGCTATTACTCAAGTTCAAACAGTACAAAACACCTAAGATATGACTGGCTATCAGCTGGGGCTATAGGCTAAAACTATGCCAGTTTTCCCAAGAGTCTCTCTGTATTTTTGAAAGTCAGTTATCCGCCCCCCTCCCAAGATTCTTCCAGAATCTAAGCCATATTCCAAATACAGAACTCACCCCTACTCTACACTGGGCATTGATTCCTCTAACTTCTCTTTTGAAGAGTTTTGAGTACACTGGATGGGCAGGTTTGAAAACAAAGCTGCCCTTTCCCCCTTTTGAGACAGGGATTCACGGTGTAGCCACACTGGCCTGGAGATCACTATGTAGATCAAGCTGGCCTTAAACCTACAACAATCTTCTTGCCTCTGCCTCCTGAATGCTGGGATTAGAGGTGTGCACCACTATGCCTGGCTGAGCATAATTATTCTTAGTATATAATTTCATTGTTGAATGTAAGTTAACCTCTAAAATCTTATACTGAATTTTTTTTTCCTGTGGAACAGGGTCTCCCTGTACCCCAGCTGCCCTGGAACTAGCTATGTAGACCAGGCTGGCCTTGATCTCACAGAGCTCCTCCTGCCTCTGCCTCTCCAGGGCTGGGATTAAAGGCCTGCATTACCACCTGCCCCACCAGTGAATTTTAACTGTTCAGTTAATTGCAGGAATCAGATTATTCCGGTTTTAAAATTCACTTTTATATCCTTTTAGAACGGGGAAGCAAAGACCATGGACGTATTTTGGGGAACACAATTAGAACAGTGTTTCATTAAAGGAGGGAGCTGAGCTGACTGTCTTACATCCAGGGTCTGGGGTAAAGTGAAGGAGACAGTAGGGTTGATCTTGTTTTTATGTAAACTTTCGATATCTCATGGTGTTACTTTTGTACTGATTTGGGGTTGTTTGGTATATTGCATGGAAATATTACTTGATATTATGAAGATGTCGTAATGAAACCCATTACTTTGTTAAATTTAAAAACAAAGTTTAAAGATATATTACTTGAGTACAAAGTTTTCCCGGAACCCCTTTTAATTCTGCACCCAAACAACAGCGAATATTGGAGAAACGTAGTCTATCCCCGAATTGACATTTTTCTTTGTTAGACCGTGCTTCCGGCTTGGAAAGGGGCGGAGCAAATGGACTACAACTCCCAGAGAGCGGCGCGGCGCACTCGCTGATTGGTCGCCTGGGTCTCGCCCCCGCCCCGCCCCCAACCCTCCGGGTTGACCCCTGCGCGAGGTCTGGGTTAGAGTGCTCGGAGCCCGGCTCCCCGCCCAGTGCTCCAGTCCGCGGGCTTCATGGCGGCGCGGACAGTGTCCCGGATACTGCTGGGGCTTGTGAGGTCCAGCGCCCGGGGCTGCAGCTCGGGGGCTCCGGTGACGCAGCCTAGCCCCGGGGAACCCTCGAGACCTTCCAGGGAGGTGAGCCCACCCCTCCCGCCTGCGTGTACCTACGGAGAGGGTGGCCCCTGCATGCCACCTCTAACCCTGAGAAAAGCACCCGGCCTGGCCCGGAGCCCACTTCTGGGAGGGACCCGTAGGCACTCAGTGATGGGTTGCTTGAATTCACCCAGGACCCAGCTGGAGGGACCTCCTCGGAGTTTCCCTTGAACTTCCCTGTCCTACCTGGACCACCTGTTTTCAGGTTTCAGGACTACTAGGGAATGGGACTTAGGCTCCCAGGGGCTGTTTTATAATACCCCTCCGCCCTGCGTCCCACCCAACCTCTTAAACATTTTCCCTTATCTCCGGAGTGCCAGTGAGGGATCATGTGTTCCCATGACACCTACTTCTTAGCATGACAGTTAGGTGCCCCGTTCCCCTTCCCTTCCTCCAAGTCAGATGTCTTGGAAGGGCTCTGTCACATTTTAGACAGGACCAGAGCAGGACCAAGCCTCCAAGTCAAGAGTTCCAACGTCAAGGGAGAATGTAGAGTGGGAACCATTAGCCCTTCAGTGTACCCCTCCCTGGTGTTTCCAGTCATGACAAGCTTAAGTTTGTTGTTTTGCCCACGTGGTTGGGGAAACATTTGCAAGGGAAGGATTTCTCTTCTGGTAGATCTTAGTTCTCTTTCAGTCTCCCAGGACTGGGCTTCATGCCCTAGGACTCTGAATCACACTGAGCCTCCCAACTTAAGAAGTGCATAGGTGGGTTTCTGCCAGAAGCTTAGTTCCTCCTGGCATGCCTCTCTGGGATCGTTGGATAAGCAGGCTGGTTGTTGCAGGGCTTTCTGAACCCTTGAACTCTGAACTTGATCGAATGAGAACCTGGGAAAACAGATGACTGAGAGATCTTTAAGGAAGATATAAGAAGGGGGAAATTTCTAATTCTCTCATAATTGATTTGCTAAGTGATTTACTAGTCCTCACTCGTAAACTGAGTGTAAGTTCCCTCAAGTCACTGTAAGATGGAGCAGGAATGTAAAGCCTACACCTGTGCTCAGCCACCATCATGTATCAGGAAGACCGTGGGCTCCGGGGCAGAATCAGCTTCAACTTTATTAGATGTACAAGTCCCCTCACCCCTCAGAGCCTCGGTTCTGTGGCCTGTAGGGTAGAAGGGATATCTTCATCATATCATAGACATTGAGAGTTCATATATGTTTATCTATACACTCAGAGCCTGGTGGGTGGTGATGCTGTGTTATGTTTATGTGTGGTTAAGTGTTGATCTTTGCAACCCCTGACACATACTGTAAGTAGTCGTGTGAGGCCCCTCCAACCTGGACACTCAGTCATTATGTCAGCTGTGCCATCAGATGATGCATTCTGGGTATCACCACTGGGGCTGTCCTCCACTGACTGGAAGCTCCTCAGTGCCAGGGCTTTTCTGCCTCTCTAGGTGTTTCCCACAGTGCTTGACAGGAAGCCAAGGCAGCAAATGTTTTTGGCTGCTTGAAACATAGTGAGGAGTTAACTTGGAATAGTAGACAGAGCATGGTGAGAAGAAGCTTGTGATCTTACTTTTCATTTGTCCCTGTTTTTATCTGGTCCTTGACCTGGGCTTTCACTTTACCCTTGCTTCCTGCCTGTAAATCCAGAAGCTTGGCCCAGCTCATCTTGTGCAGAAAGGGAAGGCATGGAAATCTGTAAGGAAACCTCAGAGGTGAGATGAGATTATATGTTCAGCTCCTCCATAGAGCCTGCTGGTAGACAGAGCAGAGATATGGGCATCTGGACCCCCATCACCTTCCTTTAACTGCAATGCCTCTCTGCCTGCCATCTGCAGAGCTCCTTTGGTCTGGAGCCAGGGTGATGCCACTGGGCATCCATCTTGTGTGTCAAGGTGTGGATGTAAGAAAGAAGTGAGTCCTAAGTGGGAGCTGGTCATGAGGACAGTGAAAGGGAGGTTTGGCTCAGTCCAAAGACAGGTGGACAGCTTCCGTAGGTGCAAAGGGGATGTGGTGGTATATGGGGCAGCAGGGAACTGCCATCATGACTGAAGTGGCCCAGGCATCTTCCTTATAGGATTTAGCCCAATCCAAGTGTGTCCCTTTCTCCCTCTAGAATGCCATTCCTGTTTTGTGGAAGAAAGAGAGGCCTGGTTTGAGGCCCGAGCCTGCTGCTGTGGCTGGGATAATGGACAGGGTGACTGGGTGAGGTAAAGGAACCCAGATGTTCAGAGCTCTGGGAAAGTTCAAGAGCTGGCAAGTGAGTGCTGAAGGGAGGACGTAGTTACGGGAGAAAGTCATATGGCAGAGCTGGGAGGAAGCAGGGAGGAAAAAGAAGCCCTGGGGGGCCCTCGATTTCCAACCTGCCCAGCTCCTCGAAATCCCTATCTCAGGGCAGTGATCTATCCTTGTCAGGAGTCATGGGTGTGAAAGCCCCTCACTTCGGAGGAGACAGAAATGGAACCAAGTGTCATTCATAGTTTAATAGAGGTATGAGTGTGTCTTTAGTACAAATGTTCATGTGCCCATGTGTGTAGAAACCAGAATCTCCGGGATACCATTCCTCAGGTACCATCTACCTTGTTTTCTCAACTAGGTTTTTAACAGGGAACTGGGACTTGACAATTAGGATAGACTGGCTTATTGGTCAGCAAGCCCCAGGGATCTGCCTGCCTCTGTCTCCCATGCCCACTATATTGATTAATTTTGAGGAACCCTTGGTATACATCATTCCAGTAGCAGGTAAGTTGGAGGGTCACTGTTAAGTTTGGAATGTGCTCTTTTTCTCTTGAATAACCCTGCTACTCTACCTAGACTTGAGTGCTATGTGGAAGCTGGAATTTGCCATTCCAAAGGGAGGAAGTGTTGATGTTGGCTTATAGTTTGAGAGGCTCCAGTCCCTCATATGAGGAAATCATAGTGGTGGGAGGAGGAAAGAGGCAGAAAACTGTGACTGTTCATGCCCAGCTCAATTTCTCCTTTTTATTCAGTCTGGGACTCCAGCCCATGGAAGGGTGCTGCCCAAAGTTAATTTAACTAACCCAATTAACTTAATCTGGATAATCCTTCATAGACAAACCCAGAGGCTTGTCTCCTAGGTGATTCTAGATCCCAGCAAGTTGGCAATAGTAACTATCACAGATGGCAATCACTTACTGATACCCACTGTGTATTAAGAACCCCTTCGATTGAATTAGATGGAATTGTCTCCACTTTATAAAAGAGGAAACTAAGCAGGCATGTCCAGCTGTTACTGGAGTTAGAGTTAGAGCGTGAGCCCTGGCTGCTTTGACGGGTCATCCTTAACAAGACAATTAAAAGAGCCAAATTAATAGTGAAAAGTGGAAAACTATTTACTGTGGCCACATTGGGAAGAGGGATAAAGAGATCTGTGACCCCCACCACCAAGTCCATTTTCAGGGTCCTGGCATGAGGGTTAGGGTTAAATAGAGGCAAGAAATATGCCTAAGTAAACAGTTCTGGTCAAGGTGCTGCCCCGCCCTTCACTAATCCACCATTGCCTCAGCTCCAGCGTTCCCACAAGTTCTAGCAAGTTTTCGGCACTGTGTAAAAATCCCTTTTCTGAGAAAAGATCCCCCTCTAGCTGACACCTTTTCCTTCTCCCAGCATGAGACTCAGGAAATTCCAATTCTCTGGGACCTTGTTTCAACAGTCCAGGCAGCCAAGTGAGGGACATAGTGTCTCTTTAAAATGTCCTCCATCCTTCCAGACATTCGAGTTACGCAACCTGCAGGCCGCATGTGGCCTAACTCAAAATTGTAAACTTAAAATATTTTGCTTTTTTTTTTTTTTTTTAAAACTCAGTTACCCGTTCTCAAGAGCATGAAGTTTGTAGAAAACATTATGTTGCAACATCAAAAGATTGGGACATGTCTGGAACTTTAGAGGATTAGAACGAGTATTGTAATCCGTGTTTACCTGCCCCAAAGCCTGAGCTTGGAACTGCCCCTGGATTCAAAGTGTCCTCAGCCCTGGCCACACAGTAGGAAGTGCAGGTCCTCAAAGGAGTCACTCTTGGGGGCAGGGCTCGTCCATCCAGCCTTCCGTGCTGCTCTTAGGTGAATCCTATAGGCTGCCGGAGTTGAGAACCTTGAACCTGGTCGAGCCATTTGACAGAGACTGGCCTGGAAGTGAGCCAGTGCAGCTGCATTTTTGCCATATCACTTTTCTCACGAGACTAGAGGCAGGTCTATTTGTTACACAGTGGTTTGGCATACTGTGATCCACAGTGAACATCCTGAGTCAGGCAGAGTGACTTCCTTCAGAGGAAACCTACCCAGTGTAGCCTGGGAATAGAAACAGCTTGGAGCTTTACACCACATTTGAGATGTCCCAGGTCATCTGGAGTGAGTAACTTCACTGTCTGCTCTGAATTCTAAGCCCCTTGATCGGGACACATTTCCTCTCCCTCCAGGAGAAAAGAAGAATGAAGTAGGGCATGTGGGGTTTGGGGAGTCAAGAGGGAGAATGGCTCACTGTAACCAGTGTTGGAGGAGGTAAGAGGCAGAGCTGAGACTTGCTATATCCAAGTGATGTGATGAGTTTGCTCGGCCAGCTAGGAAGAGTGTGTGTATGTGTTTGTGTGTGTATGTATGTTATGTATGTGTGTATGTGTATGTGTGTGCATTTGCATGTGTGTGCATATGTTTGTGTGCTTGTATGTATATGGATATGGATGTGTGTATATGAAGGTGTATTTTTATGTGTATGTGGGTGTTAGTGTGTATTTATGAATGTATATGCATGTATGTGGGTGTGTATGTGTATGCATATGTGTATGTATGTATGTGTATGTGTGAGTGTGGGTATATGTGTGTTTGAGTCTATATGTGTGCATACAGATTTGTATGTGTGTAGGTATGTATATGTATAGATGTATGTGTGTGCATATGTGAATGTGTGTATGCATATGTGTGAGTGTACCCATGTGTGTGTTCTTAGGAGGCTGCGCTAACGGCCAGCAGGTTGGTTTTCCTTGCCAGGCCTGCTCTCAGCTTCCTGCTGAGTCATGTTCCTTGGCACCCACCTCTAATTCCTGGGTTTGTTCGGCTCCTCCATGTGTGTGAGTTAGGGTGAGGACCACCACTTGACAAGGGAAGATCTGGAACATATGGTGATTGACAAACGACTTGATTCCCCATAGCTGTGGATGGAAAAGAGGGCCCTTTCTGCCCCACCCAACTCCTAGGATTCCCACTCCAGGCCCTCCACCAGGCCCCACACAACCGCTATCTAATCCTTCCTTCTGTCACTGGGTAGGGTAAAGAATAAAGAAGAATCTAGAGTTCCCAGCCACCTCATCCACTAGCTTGAGTGCACCCGGCTTGAGCTAAATCCTGTAGAGACAATGTCTGTCCATCTCGGCTGGATGTCGAGGAGGTAGTTTCTGACCGACTTAGCTACCTGGGATAACCGGAGGTGCTGTGCAAGCTGAGGAGGAGGCGGTCCGTCTCTGGGCCCCTCAGTTCTCAGCAGGCAGGTCCCCTTGCCTGTGTCCCCCAGTCCAAAGCAAGGGCTCATGCTGCATCCCTGTCCCTGTCCTTGCAGGAGCTGTCCACCAGGCTCCAGTTCCTCCGTGAGCACGCAGCTCCCTTCTCTGCTTTCCTCACCGACAGCTTTGGCCGGCAGCACAGCTACCTGCGGATCTCCCTCACCGAGAAGTGCAACCTCCGATGTGAGTCCCCAATGGGGCCAGCCCTGGGCTACTGTCCCTCTACCCAAGTGGTGACTGGAGTCCTTATGTTCCCCTTTCCAACTTCCCACCCACCACACCTTGCATAGCAGGCAGAATGGGGTCTAAGGACTACACAGGGTCAAAGTCAATTTCACGATTATAGAATCTGAGTCTTCCTTGAAATTAGATTTGAGAACAGAATTGTGATCGGGTTTAGGGACAAGACTGGGTCCTGGCTGTTCTCTCCTTCAGCGTTCAGCGTTCTTCCCTCCTGTTTCCCTTTAGTTCCCAAAGTAGTCCAGCACATGGCTGTGTGTGTGAGTGTGTGTGCGTGCGTGCGTGCGTGTGTGTGTGTGTGTGTGTGGTAAATGTGTGATATATATGGTCAGCTGGGGCCAGGCTGACACGCAGCGCTCATTGCACAGTCCCAGGGCTGCCCTGTGGCTTGTTGTGCTGGACACCTCCACAGTTTGGATCTGCCTCCCTGCTTTCCTCCCTCCCCTCCTTTTCCTCTTAACCCTATTCACTGTTCCCCCTCCTTTCTCTTTCCTTCCTTTCCCCTCCTATATTTCACAACAACAATTATATTTGCTTAATGAGTCAGTAAATACACGTGCATTTGGTGGATGTGTAACCAAACAAAATGTGCTATGTGTGGGGGCTGGGGAAACGGCTCAGCAGTTAAGAGCATTGGTTGTTCTTGTGGAGGACCCTGGTTCAGTTCCCAGCACTCACATGGCAGCTAAAAACGGTCCATAACTCCAGTTCCAGGGGATCTAACACCCTCTTCTGGCCTCTGTGGGCATTGCTCACATGGGGCACACATGCAAGCAAAAACACTCACATACATAAAATAAAATAAAACAAACAAAAAAAAAATGTCAGTGTACTACATTTGAGCCCTGTTCCAATGTTCTCGCCTCTTTTCCAGTGTGAGGAGTCCCGTTCTGGACCCTATGCACTCATTTGACTTTGTGACTCCAACAGGTATGTCCAACATTTTGAAATTGGAACAAAGTTCACAGCTGAGAGCCTGGCACTTGAGTGCCAAACAAAAACAAACAACAAATGAAACAATGCAGGGCTCTGTAGAAGTGGCTCAGTTGGTAGAGTACTTCCCCATAAGCATGAGAAGCCGAGTTCACATAAAATCCATTCATGTTATAAAAACGCCCAGGGTGATGGTGCACACTTGTGATCCCAGCACTGGGGGGCGGGCGGGGGCAGAGAGGAGTAGATGTCTGGGGCTCAGTGGCTGACCAGCCTAGCTGAATCAGCAAGCTCCAGGTAAAAATGAGAGACGATCTTACAAAAACAAGGTAGAAAATGAGTTAGGAAGACACTGAGGTTGACCTTTGGCCTTAGTTGCTGTGACAACCATGTGCACACTCACCCACATCCATGTACCTGTGCACACACATGACCACATGCACACAGATGCAAAAGAATCTCACAACGTGATGTTTATTATTTTGTGTTGGGCCTCATTAATAGATTTCCAAGGCCACCCACTGGCCATTGACAGAGGGTTGGATGTGGCCCATGAGTCTAGCAGATCTTCTTTGATAAAACTGCCCTTCAGGAAATGGTGGTGGAGACCTGTGGCCCCCCACCTCCACAGCTAACCTGCTGTTCTGGTTTGCTTTCAATTGCTGTGACAAAACACTCTGACCCACACCACCTTGGGGAGGAAAGGGTTTATTTATTTGGTTTACATCTCCCAGGTCACAGTTCATCAGGGAGCCCAAGGTAGGAACTCAGGGTAGGAACCTGGAGGCAGGAGCTGAAGCACAGGCCACAGAGGAACGCTGCTTACTGGCTTACTCCCCTGGCCTGTTCTCAGCCTGCTCTCTTATACAGTACATGACCATCTGCCCGGGGTGGCACCACCCACGGTGGGCTGGGCCCTTCGATGTCACTCAGCAGTCAAGAAAATGCCCCACAGAAATGGCCACAGGCCAGTCCAATGGAGGTGATTCTGCATGGAGGCTCCCTCAACCCAGGTGTGTCCAGCACAACTGCTCACCCCATGCTGTTCCTTCACCCAACACTGGATGAAAGCCTGCATATAGGGCAGATATGGGGACAGTCTAGTGACAGGACAGTGGCTTTCACCAGGAAGTACCAGAGCACTTCCTTCACCCTCATGACATGCACACACACAGGTGACTTTGCCTTGGCCAGATGGAGGGGAGAAATGTGGACCATGCTGTCCGACACAGGCCCAAGGCCCTGGCCTTTCTAGCCTGTCCCTGCCAACTTCTCGGGCATCTCTCTGCCTTGAGCCAGGCTCTGTTCTTCATCTAGTGCAGCTCCCCTGTGGAGGCTTAGTACGGCTAGAATGTGGGGGAGATGAAGGCCAGGTGAGGGTTCATACCACTCAGATCTAGAGAGATCTCTTCATCTAAATGGGGTGCAGGGCCTCTGTTTGCCTGCTGGGGAGTAGATACATCCGCACCTGCCTGCCACACCCAACTCCTACTGCTTTGTCCCTTCTTTTCCTCAGGCCAGTATTGCATGCCAGAGGAGGGTGTCCCCCTGACCCCCAAGGCTGACCTGCTGACCACAGAGGAGATCTTGACCCTCGCTCGGCTCTTTGTGAAGGAAGGTGTGGACAAGATCCGGCTTACAGGCGGGGAGCCGCTCATCCGGCCAGATGTGGTGGACATTGTGGGTGAGTTGGGCAAACGTCATCTGCTGTTCTCAACCCTTGCCTCACCCAGCTGGGCTCCAGTGCTAAGGCTCATGTTGACAGCTGTCACTCAGGTGGACATTAGGGTCTCTGAGTCGTGTAATACCCACTGAGACAGCTGCTGTTTGTTACTCCCATTTTGATGAAGAATGATAGAGGTTCAGCTCATAGCTGGCCCCCATTTGGGTAACTGCTCAAATTTTGTCATCTCAGCAAACCTCGACCATTCTGCCTACAGAGTATCTTTTCGTCCCAACCCCTTTCCTCTCAGGTGTTGGCAAGCTATAGTCTATGAACCAAGTATGGGCTGCCTCTTGTTTTTCAGTGGCGTACAAGCTGAAAATGCTTTTATATTTCTTTTTTTTTATGTATATGAGTGTATTGCCTACATGTATGTGAGTGCACCCATGTCATGCAATGCCTGTAGAGGACAGAACAGAGTGTCAGATCCCCTGGAACTGGAGTTATAGACAGTTGTTAGCCGCTATGTGGGTGCTGGGATTTGAACCTGGGTCTTCTGCAAGAACAACCGGTGCTCTTATCTGCTGAGTCATCTCTCCAGCCCTGGTTTTTATATTTCTAAATGTTGGGAGGGACAAATAAAAAAGGATAATATTTTATACCACATGAAAACTATATGCTCTTCCGAGTTCAGTGTATGTTGATAAAGTTTTATCGAAACAGCCACACCCATTCATCTACCTGTCATCACGGCTCTTTTGCAGAATTGACTCCGTATAGTAAAGACCGTGTGACAAGGCTGGCCTGGCAGAACCGAGAAAGTTTGTTGTCTGTCCTTTCACAGAGTGGGCAAGGCTGGTCACACTGTACCCAGCTTCCTTTCTCTTTCTTTTTCTCTTTATGACATTTATGTCATCCTGGTTATGAACTAGCTCCATTTTTACTATTTGGTTGATATTTGGGGTTTGGTTGTTTTTTGTTTTTTTTTTTTGCAGTCCTGAAGAGTGAACCCTGGGCACCAATGAGTTACATCACTCACCTTGCTTTTTAAAAATTATATTTTATTTATTATTTTTTATTCTATGTGTATGAGTGTCATGCCTGCATATAGGTAAGTGAACCTGTGTCAAGCAGTGGCCGTGGAGGACAGAAGAGGTTGTCAGATCCCCTGGAACTGGAGTTAGGGACTGTTGTTAGCTGCCATGTGGGTGCTGGGATTCAAACCCGGGTCTTCTGTAAGAACAGTCAGTGTTCTTAATCACTGAGCCATCTCTCCAGCCCTGCCTTGCTTTATTTATTTATTTTCTTGGTACCTTTTTCTTTTTTCAATTTTTAATTGAATTTTTGCAAATTTCATACACTGTGCTCTGGTCATGTTTAGACCTCCTCCCCTACTTGCACCTCTTGTATAGCCTCCTCCCCCCAGATTACATGTACTCTGTCATATAAGGCCTATCAAGTAGAATTTGTGCCCTGGAATATGTCCTTCAGTGTAGGTCCATCCAGTGGAGCCTAGTTAACCTATTTAACATCATACCCTTGAAGAAAACCAACTCTCTTGGGGTTGGAGAGATGACTCAGCAGTTATGAGCACTGGCTGCTCTTGCAGAAAACCTAGGTTTGATTCCCAGCACCTACATGGCGGCTAACAACTATCTGGAACTCCAGTTCCAGGAGATCCAATGCCCTCTTCTGACCTCTGTGGGCATTGCATGACACACGTACACTTACATACGTGCAAACAATACATTCATACACATAAAATTAAAATAAAATTTAAAAAGAAAGAAAAAAAGAAAACCGACTCTCCCTCTCCCAGCAGTAATCAGCTGCCAGTAGTTCCTTGGCCAAGGTTGGGGTTTCTTACCCACCTCCCCACTTCTGTGCTGGGATTTTGTCACGTTTGCGCTTGTGTGGATCTTGTGCATGCTGTTACCATTGCTGTGAGTTCATATGAGTAACTTCGCAACTTTCTGAAAAGTGTTTCCTTGTGGTCGTCCACCACCTCTGGCTCTTACAGTCTTTCTGCCCCCTCTTCCACATGGTCCCTGAGCCTTGGGTGGCGGAGACTTGGTTTAGGTGTCCTATTCAGGGATAAACCCTCTGCAGCTTCTTATTCTCTGCCCTTCGGCCAGGTGTGGATTTCTGGGTTAATCACCATCTGCTGCAAGAGGAAACTTTGCTGGTGAGAATTGAGAGGCACATTAATATTCTTTCCACCCCCTATTCTACTATGTTCCCTGAGCCTTAGCTGTAGAGGCTGCATTGTAGATGTGTTACTTAGGACTGGGCACCTCACAGACACTATTCTCTGTCCTTGACTGGTTGTGGGACTTCATAATAGTCTTCATCTGTTGCAAAAAGAAGCTTCTTTGATGTGTGGTGAGAAGCACACTTGTATGTAAATATAAGGATATATATTTAGAATATTGTAAATGTTGGTCTAGGTCTGTGACAAGAGTAGGTTTCTCTGTGGGGTCTATGCCATCTCCACCCCTGTGTATTTGGTATGTTTACAGTACCATACATGAGTTCCTTCCCACTGAGTGGGCCTTAAGTCCAATTAGACAGATGTTGTTTACCCTCAAGTTCAAAGTACCACTTCTTCACCAATAGAGATTATTTGCTGGGCCAGTTGTCATCGTCGTTTGTAGATTACACAGCTGGATGGGATCATTGATTGGTTTTTTTCACTTGACAGTTTGCATTGTATCATCTGATACTATGAGAGCTAGTTTCCAGGTCAGTTCCAGCTCGATTGTTCCAAGTCCTGTGTCCAAATATGCCCTGTCTTCAGCAATAGGATCTTACCTTTAGTTCTGGGAGATAATCAGGGGCTGTTGCAATAGCTGTGTTCTTTTGGGAATCTTTTGGACTACTCTGACCAATAACTTGAAAGGGAGGTTTCTCTTGCCTGGCACTGTGTTTTTTGTTATATAGCCTTGAGCTATATACATGCACTCATATAATTACATAAACGTATGTATATATGTGTATATATGTGTGTATTTTTCAGTCAGTAGGCTTTTTGAACTTCACACCACCTAAGCATTATTTATGTCTCTTCTCTTCCCCTGTGTAACCCTTCCTACTCCCTCCCCAGTTAAAATAACACCCCTTTCTCTAGTTCCCCCTTGATAATACCTGCCTCCTATTATCTCTCTCTCAAGTTCCTTCTTCCCATTAAACAGATTTCATTTTATTTTATTGTTTTACATTTGTGTGTGTGTGTGTGTGTGTGTGTGTGTGTGTGTATGTGTGTATCTTTGTTAGGGTGTGTGCGCACAAATACAGGTGCTCACGCGATCAGAAAAGGGTTTGGGATCCCCTGGAGCTGTAGTTACAGGCCATTGTGAGCTGCCTGAAGTGGGTGCTGGGAAATGAACTCAAGTCCTCGGTAAGAGCAGTATGTTCTCTTAATCTCTAAACCATCTCCCCAGACCCCTTTCAAAAGCTTTTAAAAGATTTTATTACTAATATTAGTAGTATTATCCCCACCCCCCTACTTTTTTTTTTTCTTGAGACAGGCTGTGTATCCCAGGCTGAATTCAAATGCAGTGAGTAGTTGAGAATGACCTTGAAGTTATGATCTACTTCTACTCCCAAGTGCTGGAATTATAGGCATGTACCACCACAGCCAGTTAATGCAGTTTTGGGGATCAAAACCAGGGCTTTGCGCATGTTGGTACAGGCACTGTACCAACTGACCTATATCCCCAACTCCAATAAATCTCTTTTTTTCCCTTGTTGGGGACTGAACCGTGGACCTTGTATATCCTAGGCAAATGCTCTACCACTGAACAATATTCTAGCCCATTCCAACCACTTTTTAAAACATTATTATTATTGTTATTTATTATGTAAAATTATTATTATTGAGACAAGGTCCCACTGTGTAGTTCTGGCTGACCTGGAATTCATTATGCAGACCAGGCTGGCCTCCAGCTCACAGAGCTCCACCTGCCCCTTCCTCCTGAGTGCTGAGATTAAAGGTGTGCACCACCACACCTGGCTGATTTTCATTTTGAGAGAGGATCTCACTAAGATGGCCAAGCTGGCCTTGAATGTTCAATGCCTTTGCTTCAGCGTGTTGTGTTCCTTAATCGCCTGTCTCTTCCCTTTAACCAGCATGAAAACATTCAAGTAGTTGGAGCAAGCTTTATTCTGAACTATGCCTCACACATACTGGGCACTCACCAATTTTCTCTGAATGAATGAGTGAATGAATGAAGTGTGCATCAATAATCTCTGAAGCAAGACACCCTTCTATCTGAATCTCAGCTGTGCCGCTTACCAGCAGTGCACCTGTGAGTATTGGTGCTAAACCTCTGCCTCACAGGCCAACTGCGGAGGAAGTGAGGGTGGGTGGCCCAGCAGCCCTGCAGAGCCACTCCCGGTGTGCTGCTTCTAAACCCAGTGCTGCTCACAGCAGTGGGATGGATGATGAAATCAGAACACGGCCAGGCTCTGTGTCATGATGATGGCTCCCTCCCAGCCACTGGGGACCAGCTGTCCCTGGGACTCTCTGGGGTCCACCTGAGCCTGTGCTGGGGTTACAAAGATGAGGGAAGCAGAGACTCCGCTCCTGAGGACCTCCAGCCTAGCAGCTGATGGAGTGAATTAGACTGAACAAGAGAGGGCTGGGTGGGGTAGCAGTCCAAAGAAGGGCCCAGCCACCCCCCCCCGGGAACTGCTTGCCAGTGTGGCACAGAATGTCTAAGCATGGACCTGTGGACTCGGGGTGCTCCATGGAATGCACAGTACAAAGAACCTGGAAAGTTGGCACCTGTCCCCATCCTGCCACGCCCTGGCCTTGGAACTTGTACTTCTCTTTAACCCTCCCTGGGCCTCTGCTTCCTTATCACAGGACTAGCCAGGTAGGGTGTTCCTTACTGGGATGTTACAGGATACCAGTCCTGGCTGATGGCTTGAGTTGAGGAAGGGGCAGCCACCATACAGACAGCGGACCTACCTGCTGTGATCTCCTCCTTAGGATTCACCTTCTTCCCCTAGGGCTTCAA